GATGTATATCGGGTACCTATCGGGCACCATGATTGGTGCATGATAAGTGCATGATATGCCAGATTTTGACCAGTGCTGTGCATATGCTTAATACTAATTAACTGTGGCCTTGTGTATTGACATTTTTTTGTAACGATGCTTGTCTCACCGATCTCTAAATTCCACATTGAACTTTTATTACAACACTGGTATACGGATTCGTTGATAATGGAAACAGATTCAGATTACAACTGTTAACTAATGATTTTGGTAGTTTCGGATCAAGAATTTGATGCAATGGAGTTTGTTGCCGAAATAAACTTTTCACATTTGGAGAAAATCTGAAGCAACTATGTCTTTATCAAAGAAGTTCGTCAGGAGATATTCCAAAAACAACAATATGGAATGGGATTTGGGTCATGAAGAAAATGTTAAATCTTGTTATTGTGACAGGTAGATTGGAGAAAATATATGAATTACATTTAAAGTTGGTCAAGGAAATGGAAGCTGAAATTATAAATCAAGTAAAGAATGGTGATAGTATTGTTGAATTTGCTTCTACTATCAACAATCCGATTGGCATCAAAAAGAAAGGACGAAAGCCCAAAGATTCTGAACACGTGAAAACGGATCGCAAGGAAAAAAAATGAGAGGCATCCGAATCTGATCGATGTAGCTAAGAAAATACCAACAATGAGGATCACGAGGAACCATCACATAAAAAGCACCGGAAACCATTACAAGATATTATTAGATCAAATGATAATGTATTGATAAATGGTGAAACTAGTAGGAGAGCTTGTGGTATATGTAGTGAGAAAGGGCATAATGCATGAACATGTCTAGTGAAGAATTAGTGTATAAGAGTGAAGAGAAAAGAAAATATTTGTAAAGTGCAAGTTTTGACCAGAATGATTTAAAAATTAAGTTAGGAAAAATCTAAGGAAACTAACAAAAACAAATATTTATAGTAAGTGAAGATGCAATATATCAACATTTATGATATAAATTACACTATGCATCATTATATACTATACTAATCACGTAATTATAATATATAATATAAGTGATTAAAAGTATATCATGTAACACACATTTTATTAATAAAAATTACAAAAATTTCTTGTTACAAATCATGTGCACATGTGTACGCATTATAAATTACATATTTTTATTTGTTAAAAATTATTATATTATGAATCATGTGTTCTATTTTTATTGGTTAAAAATCAACTGGTGTTGAACACCACTAGTGTGATTTATCAAAGTCAATAATTATAAATATAATATTAAAATTAATAAATAAAATAATAATAATTATAAATATGATAAAATAATAATAAATTATAAATATAAAATAATTTGTTTATATATAATTATAACTTATCGAAACTTTTTGAAAAAATTAAAAATATAACAATTTTCTACACAAATTTTTACAAAAAATTTCTGGAATATTGCAAATTTTTTTACAAAATTTCTGAAATATTTGTAAATTTTTATTATAAAAAATTCCGGAAAACTGTAAAAATTTCCAGAATATTGTGAATTTTTTTTCTGAAAAATTTCAGGAGTCTACAAAATTTTCAAAAGATAATTGAGCTGAAAAATTTCCAGAGATTTTTGCCTTTTAAAATTTTCTGATGTGTAAAACATTGGTACAAAGAGGAACAGTCAATTCGTCTTATGCCTAAAGATCGAATAAAAATAATGGCTTGGGGTGGATTTTGTATTAAAGAAAAAACTAGTTTATTTTGTTTCAAACAAATAATAAATGCAGAATTTTATGTAGAAATATTACATACACATAAACCTAAGATGATTCAGATGTTTGATTGTAACTGATGCTTTCAACAAGATAATGATCTAAAACATACAAGTCATCTGGCTAAAGCCTATCTTTAAGAAAACTTTCCAATGGTTTTAGAATAGTCATTAAATAGTCCAGACCTAAATCCAATTGATAAGAGCAATGTAAAGAAGAGAATACCTAAAAATCTAAATGATCTTGAAAATTTTATAATGGAAGAATGGCAAAATATTCCAGAAACCATTTTAATTAATCTTGCGATGTCAATGAAACATCGTTGTAAATTAATTATTGAAAATAATGACGAACATATTTCGTATTAATTTTTATTAATAAAGTTAGCTGATCTTCAACTTTAAAATACAGTGTGATTTGTAATAATAATTGATTGATTTTTTGATTCTAATTTTTTTTATCTCACACTGTACTTCTTGTTCCATATGAAATTCTGTAAACTTTATAAATACCTATACCTTTAACTTCTTTTTTGGTTGTAGGATCAATAATCTTTTCAAATAATTTATAAACGCTTCTAGCTCTTTACATTTTCTTGTGTAAATTTGCTTCTGAAACTTTAGGTAAGGAAGTTTTAATTATAATATAAACTTGACTCTTTACGGTTTTCTTACTGACATCAGTTTTAGTTCGAATTTCAGCAACAGTGTTTTGATACGAGTTTTTATAAGTATATCAACATATTATTTCTTCTGCAATTTTAGCATCAAAAAATAATCGAGCTAGCTTATGTCCATTTTTATCTTCACTCACTTTTATATTGCTATCTTGAGTTTTAGGAGTATTGATTAATGAGATAAGTATTTTTTCTTTTTGAATAAATAAGATTACTTCTTGAATTATACCTTGCTCTATTTTCTGATTGTATGGTATTTTTATTTCAGAAGAATGAAACTCTACTTTTCATATCTGAACAATAGGAGGAGATTCCTGATTCGAAATATATGTGTCCTTTCTAGTTTGGTCTTAATTAATAGAAGATAAGTCTTGATCCCAAAGTTTCTTTTCTTTAATGGTTTGAATAATCTCTTTACTTACCTTTTCCTTATACTTTGAATCCAGGAATTTATCAATCTTCTCATCTTCCAATGATTTATGAGTCTTCGACTTCTGACATATACTGAAATTTGAAGTAGTATCAGATATATTAGATGCGTTTTTTGACATTTGTTTAGATGTATCATCTTGTGATAAAGAGATTGCAGAGGGTAATACAGAGCATCAAATCTCTGATTCTTCAAATTCCATTAAAGATTCAGGTTTTGTTGGGCTATATTTTATTTCAGGTGAAGGGTCAGAGAGAATTGTTTTTTCAGATGTAATCTTATGAAGTAATGATACTTTCGTGCTAGCATTCTCTATCTGTGAGTCGATAAGTTGCAAAATATCTTCTGTAGAAGATGCTTTCAGTTTATTAGTAATGTCTTGAGTCTGCTTCTGTTCCAATTTCGTGACTCTATCTTTAAGCTCAATATTCTCAGCAGTGAGCTTGACATTATTCATTTTGTTTTGCTTCTCCAACTCTTCAAACTTGGTTTTAAGCTCAATACTCTTTTCTATGACCCATCTTAACTTCATATTTTCAACCTCGACCTCAGTATATTTCTTTCTAAGCTCATTAATTTTGATTACAAGCTTGGAATTCTGTTCTTCTAGTAAATCGATTTTAGATTGAGTGTTTACCATTTTTTTATAGAATACAGATATATTTAATTCTTTAGTTGTGATAGATGCAAAGCATCCTACTTTGTTAACATCCTCACTCTGTGAGTCATGAACGAAAATGCCAAGAAATTTATTTGAATCTGATCATTACCATTTTCCTTATTTTTTTGCCAAGAATAAATTCAAAGAACAAATTCTCAATCAAAATATATATATATCATCATGAAAAATCTGAATTATTTCTATTTCAGAACACTAATCAATAAATAAAAATAAAAATAAAATACATGATAAAAAATAAAAATAAAATGAATTAATCAGGGCAATGTACAGGACATCCTATACATAAGTTATTGTTGTTGTCATCATCATAATTATTTTCGAAAAAATCAAAATCATTATGTGCTGGTGGTAATTGTGATTGTGGTGATGATGGTCGTGGTGATGGTCGTGGTGATGGTCGTGGTAATGATCGTGGTGATGGTCGTGGTGATGGTTGTGGTGATGGTCGTGGTTGTAATGATGATTTATTTTTTTTTCGATATTTTTTAGTTACACGACCACAATTATAACTAGGGGGATTGGATCTTCTTGTGCGAAGATTATATCTTGGTGGTGGTGGTGTTGTTGTTGGTATTTCTGGTGATGATAATGATGATAATATTGTTGTATTATTATTATCATTACTATTACTGTTATTATTGATGTTATTATTACTGTTATTATTATTATCGTTGTCATTATCATTGTTTTTATTATTGTTATCATTATCGTTATTGTTATTGTTATTATCATCATCGTCAAACATTAGAATATTATCATCATCATCATCAAACATTAGAATATCATAATCATCATCACTACTATCATGTACAGGACCTTCATTATTTTGTATTTTTGCATTTTCTTGGATTTCAGATAGTTTGTGCCGAAGGTGTGATAGTTCATCTTGAATGCGAGCTTCTTCTGCTTCATGGGCCAAGATATCTTGTTTCTAATTTCAGAAGAATAATTAAGAATAATATTAAGGCTGATATATAAATGCAAAATAAATGACTTTACTTACTATTTTAACCTCTTCAAGTACATTATTCCAATAATACTCGAAATTATAACGTTTTTGTTCTTGATTGACCTACAGTGAGGAAAGCAACTGTTAATAGTGTGTAATTTTTATTTAGTGTGTAATTTTCTATTTAGTGGTAAGGGCATGCCAAAAATCAAATGGTTTAGGGCGAACCCTATAGTATAGAGAAATCAGATGATAAACGGCATGCCCCAAAAGGAAGACACATAATTGATTCCTCCTCCGGAATCAGCAGACCTTTACCAACGACAAAGTTAGGGCGCCTGAATAGAGAAATTGGGGGCTGGTTACCCAACGTGTCTACCCAGTAGTTCCCCTAGTCGACCCACGACCGCAATCGCAACCCACTAGGAGTTACCTTAACCTTGCAAAATAAAAAAGAACACACCTGCTTTTCCAAGTTATCAAAATCATTTTGGTTTAATATCTTTTTTGCTTCTACTAAAAAGCGTTCACGCAAGGAATTGTTAAGGTCACGCCAGAGCAAAAGAGGTGAAGTGTTGGCAACAATCGCATCTCGATAATGACGCAAAAAGTACTTGAAAGATTTGGTTCCGCTTTGCTTTAAATATGAAGTAAGTTCCTCGCAACCGGAAGACATGTTGATATAAAAAAGAAAACTCAGTGAAAAATTTAGTTTGAAAGCCAAGAAAAAAATACAAGAATAAAAAACGCGAACCCTTAAACACGTAGTTTCCCCCTTAAATAACGCGTATGGCTAGAACGTGCCATGTGTTAATTTATCGAATTTGGTTATCTTGCACTTCACAGGGAGAGTCAATCAGATCATTACACATGCATTGTTCTTCTGTGATACATGTTTTATCGCATGACCTGATGATGCATGCAGATTCTATTATCTTCGAATTCCTTCTATGACACATAGTGGCTATTTTAGCGAAAATATCGAGTTACACAAAATATCTAATCGAATATAATCACTGGAGCAAGTGGTAAATCTTTGAATCTTTTTTCAATATGGGCCAATACCTTTCTTGATAATATCCTGCCTTCTCGTAATAATTTCTCGAAGCCAGAAAAAATAGATAACATATACAGTGGCTCACAAAAGTATTGCAACACCTGTTTTTTTTGTCTTTAAAAAATTATGCAGCCTGAACGATCGATTTTAGAATAATATTTACTAAGCTCATTTTAATCCTCGAGTTTTGAAGATTTTTTTGAGATGTTTTCGGTAGGGTTGTTAAATGGAGCATAATGTACTAGTACCAACCCGGGTTATGTACCACTCCATCATGGAGTGGGTTAAGATTTCTAGTTTTTTGTACCAACCCGGAGCAAAATATTTTATTA